TTAACTAAAATTTGAAAATATATAGTAAATGTATCATAATAATAATATATTATATAACCTTTTAGACTGAAAGCCCCCCTCCCCGCAACACTGCTATAATTATGACAAAACTGCTTGTTTATAATTGACAAAGCTGTATCTTTTTGGTGAAAAAACAGAAACAATAGTAATTGAGTGATTTATTTATTGATTATATTAATGTCAATTGTATTAATACATATTCTTGGAAGTTTGCTGAGGCCCCCCAATGGGTCTTGGCTCCCTTTTAGAGAACCACTGTAGTAAATAGACAAATATCTACATTAAATTTCACTTTATTTTTTATTTTACTTATTAAAAAATAAATTAATAAATACATTTGTGGATATTTGTTGATGTGTTTATAAAAACACAATTGGCATCAACTATATTAATATACTAGGTTAATCATTTGAGTATGAGGGATACAAATGGCATTGGAACGGTATGAAGCAGCGTACAGTACAGTAGTTTAAATATGGTACACCTTTTGTCTTCAGCAGGAAAATGAGAGGTTGATGGGAGGAGCACAAACAAAACGGCGTTCTTCTTTCTCCAGCAGTGACACAGGAAAGCCCAGTCCACAAATCACTCTAAAACGCCACGGCTCCAGTGAGTCCCATCACACTCTGCACTGTGCTAGTTGCGCTTATAACAAACACAGCTGTTGGATTCGGCATTGTCTTTAACGTATAGAGTATGATGGTTTTAAGTTTTTATTAGCAGCCTGCTGACTGCTCAACCCTATTTTGGCCATTTTGAAAAGGGCTGCAGAGTTCTTGTCACATCAGAAGCAGTCAGAATGATTTAACCTGAGCTTAACAAGACATTTTGGTTTGATCTACAGCTTTCTGCATTTTCACACTCATTCTCTCACCAGATAAGTGCTAAAAGCATTGCCACCTTCCCACAGACTTCTAGGGTCTGATCTTTGACCTTTACTTGACATTTCAGACGCAAATCAGTACGGGAGGTATGGGAAAACGCGGGCACAGGAGGACGCACGCCAATACTTGAAAGAAAAAGAAGACCTGGAAAAAGAAATAGATAGTATCAGAAGTGCCCTAGTCTCACTGAGGAAAAAGAAACGAGAGGCCAAAGAGAAGATGAAGGGTGCACCGGGTGAGAAAGCAAGCTTTCCTCCCTATTTAATGAGATACTCAAGGACTCTTTCAAAATAGTTAAACAAGTGACTTTCCCCCACTTTTACTAGCAAAAATAGCTTTTTATTGCTCGTTTCCTTTAGCATATCGCAACATTTAATTCACATATATGTATGTCCTCGTTTCTCTTTTATATCCATGTTTAGATGATACATATGTTCATAAATTCTTCTCTTGAGAGGGTAACAGCCATATTATCATAACACAGAACACTTTTAAATCGCAATATGGCCTGAAGAAATGAAGACGGCTGTAAATATTAGACTTGTAATTTTACAGTTGTACTGTAAAATGGTGATATTATTTTTCATGAATACTAAATGTTTAATTTTACATTGAAATAGCATTAATACAATAGTAATGTTTCTTACTGTGTTTAATATTTTAGTTGTAATAATAATTATAATTATTTGAAATAATATTCCAGTAATCATAATATTTCATATTTTGTTTAACATTTTAGTAATGATAATGATGTTGACGTTTCTTTGCTTTTATATGGTCATAATGGATCTGCCAAAAATGCATATGTAAACTGAACTATATACATGTGCAGATAAGCAGAAGTTGGCTTTAGAGGAGCGTGTAGCCCAGTTAGAGGACAGCTGTCGGGTGAAAGAGGGAGAGCGTGTGGACCTAGAGCTCAAGCTCACGCAGGTGAAGGAGAACGTGAAGAAATCTTTGGCTGGTGGAGAACTGGGGGCACCTACAGAGTCTAAAACTACAAACAAGGTACTGACTGGACCTAAAAAGCAAATATTAGAATTAACAGTTTGATCGAAATTGTTAAATATGGTACTGGGTTTACCTTACAGACTCAAAGGATGGAGACTCAGTATATTGAGTCATTTCTCCCAGTCAACTGCACCTCTGAAATGCGTAAGCGGCCCCCCTCCATCTATGCATCCGCGAAGGGAAACGTTATGCAGAAAGCCAAGGTAAACACATCAGTGTTCACAACATTATCCAGTGCAATGCATCAAAAGACCGATAATGCAAACGGAACAGTTTGTTGCATCAATAGAGATCACATTAAAACAATCAATCTATTTCTAATGAGTCAGTCTCTAATTAGTTTCATCGATTAGTTTGGGGTCCTGCTATTAAGTCTTATATATTGCAGAATGGCCTGTATGTGTGTAACTTAAACCTTAATGCTTTATTTTTAACCAGGAATGGGAATCTAAGAAGGGGACTTAAACTGCTGATCAGGAATGTCAAGGTTAACATGAGGACTTTTCAACCACCTTTCTCTAACACAGACTGCTGTATATGCATATATATTGACTACGACGACTGCCACTTTTGTAACTTTATAATGGGGTTAGAATGACAAAGCAGCCGCTCTATTATAATACTTTGCAGTCAAATGATGATGTCCTCTTCAAATCTGGTGAAGTTCCATGTTACAGGCACAAAATATTGAAGGATTGAGATGGTATGAGGAAATAATAGTTTGTCCTTTGAACGTGCACAAAAGAGTTGTGGGTGGGATGTAAAGAAAGATGGGAATGCATGTGAGACAATCCACTTTAAAATAGTATGTTGAGAGAGGCATGATTGGTGACATTTGTACAAAGTGTTTTTTTACACTCCATTGCTTGCACAGTACTTCTGGGGTAACTCCTGCTCTTAACCAAGTGGTGCTAATAACGGTGTACATACAATGATTGTAAATAATTTTAACATTACTTTTTTAATCTAGCCTCAATGTATTTTACTGATACTTCGGTTTATAACCTTTTGTTTTTTCACCTTTTAATGTGAGTAACATTTGCACTTTAAAATGTCTTTAGACATGGAGATGGGAATATTATTTTAATAAAGAAAGAAAAAAAAAGTGTATTTTTGTTCCTTTGTTATAGACTTGCATGGGAATTATGGTTGTGGCTAGACGGGATACAGCTACGGCCAGAAGTGACGCAAAATCTCTCCAGATGGACAGGAAGAAAGTGAATTTTTATTTTTTTTTTTAAATGGACAGTAAAGGCGACAACAAGCGAACTAATTAGCCCATGTTGTGGCAAAGTCCTCTGAACCAAAGTCTCGCTGGATGGACAGGAAAAAATTAAACGGACCATGAAGACAACTAGCGAACTAGATTTTGCAAGACTTGCGTCACTTCAGGCCACAAAACCTGATATTTCCTTATATACTGGATTTACAGAAAGAGGATTAGTAGATTGTCAGTTAAATGTTTAAAGTACAACACCTTCAGTGATATCTTAATGCTGGTGAGGAACTGACCCCTCAAGAAAAAAAAAAAAAACCCTAGTCTTCGTGTCAGATTAACAAAAGTGAACAGAAGTTTCATAAAACGTTTAATAAAGTTAAAAAGCAAACCATTTTAAATATACACAGTTCACAATCCACATGAAAATTTAGAGTTCACACTCAGGGGGCAAGTCAACAGTCAGCTCACTTATAGTCTGTAGGAATGCCTCCATTTCATCAACGCATTCCACCGCTGCATGAGAGGAAAAATACTTAAGTTTAACTGGGCATAAAGACTTTTTGCATAGACAACTTTAAGCTACATTTCTAAATAGATCAATTACCTCTGGGCATCTTTAAAGGTGAGAGTGGCAAACATGGGTCCATAATAAGCTCTTCCACAGGTAACGTATTTGGCCACATCTGTTTTCCCAGACCAGTCAGAGAGAAACAACTGAGGTAGACTTCATCTGGAACACCGCAGGTCTCAAACTCTACAAATTTAACATGGGACAGAATTGTCAAGAGCTGAAGTCAAAAGTTTAGCTTAAAAGCCATAAAACAGCAGGTCAGTCTTACCGCTTGGATTGTATGGGTAACACTTCTCGATCTCTGGCAACTCCTCACTAGCTGGCTGAGCAGGAACCTTACACTGATGGAATAAAATCGATTTAATCAACCTACAAACAACTTTCATACGGTTTTCTCTGCATATCAAGAACAAACGGCGGTTAAGTTAGTTTGACGTTTGACATTCATTAGACATTCGTTTTTATTGCCAATTAAACTATTTGCGGCTTTTATGTTTTGAGACCAAACTAACTCCGATAGACATAAATATATGCCCTCTATGTTGCACAAGGCTTAATTTCTAGGAATTAAAAAAATAATAATTAACCATTTAACTACGTGACGACATAATATAAAACCAATGCTAAAATGTTCGGAAAAACATAACTGTTATCGCACAACGCTCTGTTTTTGGAATTACAATTTTATGTTTTTTATAATAATTTTACAATTTTTAATGTATGCAATAATATAAATCCATTAAATGACAATACCATTTGATCTAAAGGTATGAAACCAACTGTAAAATATTCAGAATAATATTCCCTATAATGCACAAGTCTTGGTTTTCCTGATTATGCCTTTATTGTTTTTATATATAGTACTGAAACCATATTTGTCATGCTTTATATACTGTACCCACTTAAATGAATTAAACTCTGACACAGTTTGAGATAAAAAGGTATCAAACCAACTGTAAAATATTCAGAATATTATTCCCTACAATGCACAAAGCTTGGTTTCTCAGATTATGCCTTTACTGTTTTTATACATAGCACTGAAACCATATTTTTCATATGCTTTATATACTGTATCCACTTAAATTAATTAAACTCTGACACAGTTTGAGATAAAGGTATCAAAACAACTATACAAATCTCTAAATATTATTCACTTTAATGCACAAGGCTTAGTTTTTCAGATTATGCCTTTGTTTTTATATACAGTACTGAATACATATTTGATCAATATGACTTAAACCTCTTTGTATGCCATGGCATAGCATTTGGATATCACCATATAAATAAACAAAGCCCTCAATTTACAACTTCATGATATTTGGTTTTTAAAACCCATAATTTTTCTGATAAACAAAATTATTATTCTGTTAATTATCTTATCAAAGCTTTATATACAAGTAAAAAAAATTATACAAATAAACCATCATATTACCTTTTGTAACACTGGTCTTAAAATATATTTTGAAACTCTTTCTAATATGA